CGACGATGCCATAACTCCAAATTTAATGTAGCTTCGACCCGTGACACAAATTCCGGTTTGCTAAAATAGTAAAGACCATCTCTCCTAATTCCCATTCTAATCAGCTCCTTTGTTTGGTCCTGGATAGCACAAATATTAGAGTCAAATTGAACAATAGTATGTAAATCGTCATTAAGTTGAGAGACCAAAAGCAAATTGCAATTTAAGTGTGGAACATAAAGCACTCCGGTGAGAGTTATTTTGTCCGATAATTTAACGGAGCCCATAAGAGTAGCCACCACCTTAGCACCGTTTGGTAAACCAATCGGGCAATCGAATGTATGCGAGTCAAACAACCAAGAACTATCACCCGTGACATGATGAGACGCTCTAGTGTCAATAATCCATGAGGAAGGGTCAAACTTATCGGTCAATCGATTTTCGGGAATGTGAGAATTACCAACTAGTCCCGCAATGGACTTCCATTGATCTTGGGAAAAAGAACTTCCAAATATTGAATTGGATGAAAGTGGCTGAGTGGCAGCCATATGTGTACGAACAAGACCTCTGCTTGGGCCTTTATCTTTGTTGTTGTTGGGCCTTCCTACAGTATCAAGACAAAGATTATGGGTACACAAATCCGAATACAGAAACTTATGAAGACGAGACTGAAATTTTGAAGGTGGAGGTGGTGTTGGTGAATCATCACCGCCAGCCATGGCAATGGATTAGGAACAAGAAATATTTAGGCCTGATACCATGTAGAATTATGTATTGTGAATAAACTTTAACCTGATTTCCATAAACTCATAATCAATCAATTTATAATACAACCAATGTAGTTTCCTACCCTATCTTAAACTCTAGAAAAACCTAGATAAACTAGGAAAAGATAAATCCTAATATTATCCAAATAATCCTAAAATACATCTTAATAAACAAGTTTACCAAACAATGTCACAATTAAGTAATATTCATGAAACTTGAAGAGAGAGAAAGTGAGTGGAAAGATTATGCCAAAGTTGTAGTGGGTATCAAGAATACCCACAATTGACCCACTTGTGTAGCCTTAATCCTCTTGAGATGCTTCCCACTTCACCAAATTGCTTCAATTAAACCCAAAAAGAAACCCCCAAATTCGTTTGAAAAGTTAGGGTTTTCGAATTTTGACGAATATGGGGTTTGATGGTGAGTTTAGATGGGGAATTTTTGGTAGATTAATATAGTAATATTATAGGATCAAATTCTTGAAGAATTGATGAGTAAAATGTGAAAATTTGATGAGTTTTGAGGGGTAGGAGGGGGTTATACGGGATTGAGAAAGAGGAGGAGAGTATGCGTGATTCTGATGGGGGGAGAGGAGAGAGAAAAAAAATGTGAGGGGAAGGAGGCTTAGTTTGCTATCTTGGATTGCCCCTCAAGTTATTTCTGAGATTGTGAAACATGGGCATGCCACCCTGAGACATGGGCGTGCCCAAGATCAGAAACTTTAGACTTAGAATTTCCCAAGCTGACACGGGCATGCTGCACAGAGGCATGGGCGTGCCTAGCTGGGATTTTCACACTTTAAGCTCGCTTTTTTTTTTTTTCTTTTTTTTTTCTTGTTTTTAAAGAACAAAATAAAAATAAAAAGTTACTAAACTAAAAATAAAATAAAGAAAATGAAATAAAGGAAAGGAATGAGTTGCCTCTCATTTAGCGCTTGTTTATATGGTCATAAGCTCGACCACCTTTTTTCTCAATTTTCTTTTGCCGAATTTGAGAGCGTGATATCTACTCTCACATCGATTGGATCACCAACTTGGTAGCGTTTCATTCTCTGGCCATTCACCTTAAAAGTACCCTCATTTTTGTTCCATAATTCAATGTGCCATAGGGGTAGACTTTACAAACCTTGAATGGACCTGACCATCTAGAACGAAGCTTACCGGGAAACAATTTCAATCTTGAGTTGAATAAAAGGACTTGATCACCTTCCTTAAATTCTCTTCTCACAAGGCTCTTGTCATTCCATCTTTTGTCTTTTCTTTGTACAATTTCGAACTCTTGTAAGCTTCAAGGCGGAGCTCATCTAGCTCGTTTAATTGTAACAATCTTTTCTCTCCTGCTGCCTTGGCATCAAAATTCAAACTCTTTATAGCCCAAAACGCACGGTGCTCTAGCTCAACAGGTAAATGGCATGCCTTTCCATACACAAGTCTATATGGGGTTATACCAATTAGCGTTTTAAATGTCGTTCAGTAGGCCCATAGTGCATCATCAATTTTCAAAGACCAATCCTTCCTTGTCCTTGCAACCGTCTGCACTAAGATAGACTTGATTTCTCGATTCTACACCTCAACTTGGCCACTAGTTTGTGGGTGATAACCAATGCCAAGCCTATGTTGTACTCCATACTTTTTAAGCATTGCTTCGAATCGATGCTCCAAGAAATGTGTTCCCCTGTCACTAATCAACTCACGTGGGATACGAAATCATGGGAAAATTATTTTCTTAAAATATTTACTTACCACACGAGCATCATTGGTTGGAGTAGCAATAGCTTCAAACCACTTCGAAACATAATCAAAGACCACTAAAATATATTGATTCCCATAGGAAGAAGGGAATGGTCCCATGAAATCTATCCCTCACATGTCAAATAACTCGACCTCGAGTATGTTGTTTAGTGGCATCTCGTTCTTCCTTGAAATATTGCTGATCCATTGACAACGATCACAAGCCTTGACATATGAATAGACGTCCTTGAACAAAGTTGGCCAATAGAAACCACATTGCAATATTTTCGCTGCCGTCTAGGACCTGCATGTCCACCACACAGTAATTCATGACAATGGGAAATAATACGTCTCACCTCACCTTCCGGGACACATTGTCTGATCATCGTATCCAGACATAATTTGTATAAGAATGGATCTTCCCAGAAATGTCTCCTCGCCTCATAAAAGATGAGTAACCATGAGGCAATGTACTTGTGGCCAAAAAATTAGCTAAAATCACCATACCAAGGTGATTCAATTTGAGAGAGTGCTAATAAATGTTCATTAGGGAAAGAATCATCAATAGGTAGGTCATCTCCATCCCCCTTATCGAGGAGGAAGCGAGAAAGATGGTCTGCAACGATATTCTCAATCCCTTTCGTTTCCATTATCTCGATGTCATAGTCTTGCAATCGGAGGATCCAACGAATCAATCGCGGCTTGGCTTGACTTTTACTCATCAAATATTAATGCAGCATGATCTGTATGAATTATCACTTTTGAACCAACAAGGTAAGAATGAAACTTGTCTATTGCATAAATTACTGCTAGCATCTTTTTTTCAGTTGTGGCATAATTCATTTGAGCATGATCAAGAGTTTTACTAGAGTAATAAATAGCATGAAGTTTTCCATCCTTCCGTTGCCCCAAAACGGCCCCTACCGCATAGTCACTAGCATCACACATAATCTAAATGGTAGGGTCCAATTCGGGGGTTTCATAACAGGGGCGGAGATCAAAGCTTCCTTCAACCTGTTGAAAGACTAAAGACAAGCATCAATAAATACAAATGGGGCATCCTTGGCCAACAGCTCAGTTAGAGGTCGAGCGATTTTCGAAAAATCTTTAATAAATCGTCTATAAAATCCTGCATGACCAAGAAAGCTCCGAACTCCTTTTACAGAGTTAGGAGGAGGTAGTCACTCAATGACCTCTATCCTTACTTTATAAACCTCAATACTAGACCTGATCAAGTGTGGCCCGGCCCGTTTTTGGGCGGGTTTTGGGCAGAATTTTTCAACCCGAAATTAGGTTGGGCCCGATCCAGCTCGATTTTTTTTTGGCCGGGTTTAGGAATGTTTTTATGCATATTTAGTTGATTTTTTAGGCCCGGCCCGAAAATGGCTTGAAAAGCACGCACGGTCCGACCATTTTGAGCGGGTTTGGGCACAAAAATTCCGGCCCGAAGCTTGGCCCGGCCCGACCCAAAAATGGGCATAATTTTTCAGCTCCAGCCGAGTCTGGCCCGCCCAATGATCACCTCTACTCAATACCCTTATGTGATACCACATGGCCTAGAACAACTCCTTGTTGTACCATAAAATGGCATTTTTCCCAGTTTAAAATTAAATTGACTTATTTACATCTGTGGAGCACCTTTTCCAAATTTTCAAGACATACATCAAAAGATTGGAAAATTAAATTGACTTCCATTGAATTTTCAATAAGACCTGAGAAAATTGCCATCATACAACGTTGGAACGTGGCTGGAGCATTACATAATCCAAATGACATTCTTCGATAGGCGAAGGTGCCATAGGGACATGTGAAAGTGGCCTTTTCCTGATCACATGGACGGATGAGAATTTGAAAGAAACCAGAATATTTGTCTAAGTAGTAGAAAAAGGAATGCTTAGCCAAACGTTCAAGCATCTGATCAATGAAAGGGAGGGGAAAATGGTCCTTTCGGGTGGCCTTATTCAACCTCCTATAATCAATACACATTCGCCAACCTGTAATAGTTCTAGTGGCGATTGGCTCACCCTTGTCATTCTTAACAACGGTCATGCCTCCTTTCTTTGGAACTACTTGTACAGGGCTAACCCACTTACTATCTGAGATAGGGTAAATTATTCCTACAACAAACAATTTAAGAACCTCTTTTTTAACTACCTCCATCATATTTGGATTAAGTCATCTTTGAGGTTCTATGGAGGAAGCATGATCATCCTCAAGAATTATGCATACAAAAAGAAGGATTAATACCCTTAATATCATCAATGGTGTACCCAATAACACTTTTATATTTTCTCAAAACAGTGAGCAATTGCTCTAATTTTGTGTCATTAAGCGCAGCATTGACAATAACAGGATATGTATTATTAGGACCAAGGTATGCATATTTAAGAGTAGAGGAAAGGGTTTTCAACTCTACCTCGAGAGGTGTAGTACTTCCTTCACTGGTGCGGTGATTGGATTGGCTTTTCCTTCCTCAAGTAGCCGTGTGTACTCCCTTGTTTCCCAATCTTCCTCATTGGTACTTCACATTAACACCATTTTGAGTGCATCATCCGATTTAATCAAGGGAAGTTGCTCATGTTGTAAATTATCAAGGACATCCACTTGGCAAATAGTTTCTCCCATAGAAGGAGTTCCCATAGCATTCAAAAGTGAATACTCCATTTTCTTGTCACCTACCTCAAAAGTGATTTTACCATTCTTCATATCAATGATTGCACCTACAGTAGCTAAGAATGGTCTACTAAGAATAATAGGAACATGTGCATCCTCCTCCATCTCCATCACAACAAAGTCGCATGGGATAAAGAATTTTCCCATGCGAAGAGGAACATCTTCGAGTACACCCAAAGGAAACTTATCCGACCTATCCGCAAGTTGTAGGGATATGCGTGTAGGCTTTAGTTCACACATTTGAAGTTTCTTGCAAATAGAGAGCGGCATGAGACTCACACTTGCACAAAGATCACATAGTGCCTTATTGATCTCTATGTCTCCAAGTTTCACCGGAATTGAGTAGCTACCCAGATCACCTAGTTTCTTAGGAAGTGTGTTTTGCAAAATAGCACTACACTCCGCTGTCAACGCAACCGTGGCATTATCCTCTAGCTTCTTCTTGTTAGAGAGAATACCCTTTAAAATTTTTGCATAAGATGGCATCTCAGATATTGCATCTAAAAATGGAATGTTGATGTGAAGCTTTTTCAGAATATCAAGAAATTTTCCATACATTTTTTCTAACTTAGCTTGAGCCAACCTTTTGTGGAAAAGGAACTTGTGGCACATATGGAGCAAGTGGTGCTGGAATCGATGCCTTTGGATCCTCCTCAATCACACTACTATCACTCGCCTTCTCATTTGTGACTACCTCTTCAACAACCTCCTTTGATGGCCCCCTTATGGGAGGATCTTCCAACTGCTTTCCACTTCTCAAAGTCACGGCATTCATATGCCCCTTTGGTGGTTGCTCTATTTGACCCAGAAAGGTTCCCAAAGTCTTTGAAGATTGGCCAACTTGATGAGTAAGTTGACTTATTTGATTTTCCATGAGCTTGTTCTGAGCTTGTAATTATTGGATGGAATTGTTTGTTGTGGTAATGAAGTTCTCCATCATTAGCTCAAGGTTGGATTTTTGCGGAGGTGGTTGCATAGGTTGTTGGACTAGAGGTGGACTTTCTTGGAAACTAGGTGGTGCATTATAATTGTTGTTTCGAGGTGGTGGTGGAGGTGGATTCTGTTGAGCTTAGGTATTCTTGTAAGAGAAATTTGGATGATGTTTCCAACCTTCATTATATGTGTTTGAATGAGGGTCATCTGGCCTTTTGGAATTCGAAGTGTAGAATGCATTGGCTTCCTCAATCAACATCTCATTCGAGTTTTGTGGACAGTCAAGTGCAATAACCTTGTACATTACACATTTGACAAGTTTCAGGTAAGCCAGAAGATGCAGCTTGAAACTTGTCAAACTTGCTTGTCAATGCCTGCATAGAACTAGTCAAAAGAGCCAGTACCTTCATCTCTTGGCAACTGCATAAGAAAATCATATTTCTTAAACTCAATTCAAACTGCATAAGAAAATCATATTTCTTAAATTCAATTGAAATTCTATTTCAAAATACATTTCAACTTAATAAACCACAAAAGGTGTTCTCTGAGTTCGGGAATATAATTAATTATCGGAATTCAACAATTAAGTGCATTCACAACTCTTGGCGAAGTAATGCTAAAGACAGTGTTATCCTTCTTTACAGCATTACGACATCGACAATACAATTACAACTCACATCAAAATAGTTTACTTTAGGGGTTTATAATACTAAAAAATTCACACATCACTTATTTAAAACATAATTCATCTAATATATAATATTATAATAAAAGTTCCATAAATTTACTTTATTTGATAAACCAAAATCCAAACTACAATTTCATAAAACAACCAAAATAGGGCAGCAACATATAAGTCCAAAAATCATCATAAAACCCCAACTAAACATGCTTCAAATGCGAAATAAAAATTAGGGCACATACATATACTCAATAGGCATCATATAATACCATTTCGAACTTAAAACTCATGACTTTACATGCTTAAATAAAATCACCAACGCAGCAGCCCCAATTAAGGTTCCAACAGTACCATTCACACAAAACACCCAAAAAACCCACCTTAAACATGAAATTAAGCTTAGCTCATTTTAGTACAGACTCTAAAAACGTAATAGGTTATGTTAACCATGCATTTGGGATTAGAAATTAGGCCAAAACGTATCATAAAAACTCTCTAATCACTGCACACACCCTTCACAATGGATGGCAGCAGCTCCTATACTTACTTTTAAGCCATTAAAGCAAATCAAACTTGCTTAGAATCATGCCAAAATAATTAGGTGATAGCCTAACATAATACTAATTTATTTTGGGAAAGAAAATCAATCACAATAATCAGATTTAAGACCTTAAACTCACCCACAACACGCTGTAATTTCAGTCGCTGATTTCAGTTTCCCATGCTCAAAAACAAGTCCAAAACATGCCCAAAATCAAAGTTTAATACATGGAACTTACACCTAATTAACCCTAATATGCAACTACACATTAATCAGCAAGAATAAGCCCAAGAAACTAGGGTAAACATGCCTCACAACCACAACAAAACTCATGACAGGTCTATAAGATTTCAGCAGTATATATATGGTGTGTTTTGAGCCTCAAAACCATGTATAAACTCATTAAAAAGATCATACAAAGATCATACAACATCAAGGCTTTGATATCAATCAAGTTTGGACACAAAAACATGGATTAAAATCACTAATTCATGTTCTACATCACACAAATTATAACAGCCACAAAGTGAACAAAAATCAGAAAATAAACCTAATCCTAGCCATGTTTCTACCTATCAATTCAACCCTAAAACCCAAAAGTTCTAACCCAAGGAAGTAAATCTAGTTACCTTGATGTATAGGCCACCAAAATCAGAAGAAAAGGAGAGCAACACTACGCACAAACAGCAGCAACAAGATGCACAAATGCCCACCCAAGCAGCCTTGTTCTTGCTTCGTTTTTATGTTGTTTTCATATAAATAAGATGATTATTATTTGTAAATATCTTGTTGGAGTTATTATTATTATTATTATTATTATTATTATTATTATTATTATTATTATTTTAATCTTGTATTATAATTTATGATATTTTTTTGGAGTAACTCTCTTGGTTAATATGTAGTATATGTTAATCTTATTTAAAGGGATAACAATTTTTATTTTTTTCCGACACAAAATCATACGTTTTAATATGATAGTGAAATGTAAGATATAGTTAGTTCTAAACACAATTGCCTAAACTTATTTTTTAAAATTTTCGTTTGTGCTATATTAAATTATTAATACATTAACTTCAAAAAATTCCGTGCCATGTTAACCTGTAGCCTTGAAGTGAATAGGCTTTGAATGAATTGAACATAACTTATCAGCCCACAACTAACTTAGTCAAACCAAAACTAAGTGTTAAGAGTTGTAAAAAATTTATTAATTTCCAAAGGCATCTTTGAAATTGAAATAAGTCGAATAAGTATATCCAAATACAAACTAAAAAACAAGATAGTAGTGTATAAACTCTTGTTGGAGTTATTATTATTATTATTATTATTATTATTATTATTATTATTATTATTATTATTATTATTATTATTATTATTATTATTATTATTATTATTATTATAACAAAAACCTACAAAGTCAATTGATTTACAAGAAATTAGTGGGAAGCCGAGATACAATCTGGGCCCCCAACCCTCTAGCTATAGCGAACCCGATCCTGTTGAAGATATGAGCAGCTGCACGAGCACCAATATCCTGAGTCCTAGCAAACGCCTGAATCCGCTTCAGCAACGCAACAACATCCTTCTCTAATTCCCCCAATGAAGAAAAGGAGAAAGGAAGAAAACCATAGCCAATTGCCCTGCAACACGCCCCATACTTGTCCCGCTTCCGCTGAGCCGCAGCCGACACATCACGACCAGGAACAAAGTCAGACAACCCAGATTGAGTCAAAGGAGAAGACCCCGTCAAGTCAACACATACATCAAGACCTCTTTCCCAGGAATAAAGCAACACATCTGCCGGTCGAAGGGCCCCGTCATTCCCTCCAGTCAACCCAACGTTAACCTCCTTCCTTGCAGAAATCCCAGAGCGGAAACAAATATCAACAAGGGTATCACGAACAACGTTGTGCCGATGTTTAATACCTACCATCCCAGCACAAGACACCGCATGATCCCCATAAATATCCCCATCAAAAACCCTGGAGCAAGCAGAACACGGAGTCGAAACGAAGAACAAGGGAACACCTCACCGGTAGCAAAGAATACAACGGTAAGTCTTACCATTCATAGTCTGACCCAAACCTGATATCGAGACCGCTCGCAACCAGGCAGATGTGTGATCCCCCTGCTGGGACTTCCATAAGGCGACCTGACGCGGAGATAAGGAGAAAGTGGATTCTACAGATGCAGTGACCTTCGCGAAATATATATCTGCCAATTGTTTCATGAGGTTAGGGGCAGCGATCTCACTAGGGTTACGCAAAAGGTCAGTATCCACAGTCCTATTAAAAAGACTAAGAGCGCCATCGAAGGCCGGACCTGGACCATCAATACCAGAATTGCGAAGAAGCGAAGTCTGAAGACCAGAACACTGCAAACGCGACGCAAGGAAAGCATAGTGATGAACATCGCCCGCTGAATAGACACCCAATCCACCATAAGAAAAAGGTAAGGTGGCAAGTCGCCATTGCCAATCCCCAAAACCTGGCCCCGAAGCAGTTACAATGCGCTCCAAAGAACCTCGAAGGGCCACATCAAAAGAAACCTGGGCCGCTTCAAAGAACCTCGAAGGGCCACATCAAAAGAAACTTGGGCCACATCAAAAGAAACCTGGGCCGCTTCAAATTTATTATTATTATTATTATTATTATTATTATTGTTGTTGTTGTTATTATTATTCTTATTATTATTATTATTATTATTCTTATTATTGTTATTATTATTCTTATTGTTATTATTATTATTGTTGTTGTTATTATTATTATTTTATTAATTTCCAAAGGCATCTTTGAAATTGAAATAAGTCGAATAAGTATATCCAAATACAAACTAAAAAACAAGATAGTAGTGTATAAACTCTTGTTGGAGTTATTATTATTATTGTTATTGTTGTTGTTGTTGTTGTTGTTATTGTTGTTATTATTGTTGTTATTATTATTATTATTGTTATTCTTATTGTTCTTGTTGTTATTATTGTTGTTGTTGTTATTATTATTATTATTATTATTATTATTATTATTATTATTATTATTATTAACCCACAACTAACTTATCAACCCACAACTAAATTAGTCAAACTAAAACTAAGTGTTAGAGTTGTAAAATTTTTATTAATTTTCAAAGGCATACCTGAAATTAAAATAATACAAATAAGTATATCCAAATACAAACTAAAACTAAGTGTTAGGTTTTTTTTTTAATTTTATTTTTTTTTATTTTATTTTATTTTTTAATTATGAATTGCCATATTGGTAATTCCACCACCTTATTGCTAAAAATCTCTTTTTTCCCTTTCTTTTCCTTTTAAACGAAATAATTAAAGGTAATTTTATTTATAAATGGCATTCATGATCTTGACTTTATTGCTTACCTTATTTGAATAATTCTATGTGGGCATAA